AAAGTACTATTCATACAAGTCCTGTACAAGTGTACAATATGTAGTTTTTCCAACCTATCAAGCAAATAAACAAGAGTTTGGATGAAGTGAATTAACAGGTAATGTGTACTTGATAGTTACGTTCATGGGTGTTTTTATGTTTCTAGATGGATCTCCATCTACCTTATATGCTCCAACAGCAACCAGAAGCAGAAGGAAAAGAGGAAATAACAACAGTTAAAAGTGGACCAGCCACCACAACCAGCGCTGCCAACCTGTTCAATAATTCCTCCAGTCTCATCACATATTAATAAGGCATTAATCAAATATACCCTATGTTAATACAATTATTAACATTTTTGACAAAAAAAATTATATTGTTTGTAATTTGAAAGCAAAGAATAGGTTTCTGTAAGTACAGCGTATTTCTACCAGAATTTAAAGGCATATTTGTGAATGACAGTTTTCAGTCATTTCAGCTCTTAAACAGTTAACTTAACATCTTCAAGGTTAAATACATTCAACAACATTTCTTTACTGGTTTTTAGGATCAGGGTCAGACCATGCAGAAACCATTTAGTCAGAAAACACATCCTCTGCATGTAGACTTTTCTGTCTTGGGAGATATGATACTTAGTGTGAAAACTTAAAACCTAAAATTGCTTTTCTGTGTCTCTCTTTCGCCAGCAGTTATAAAATACTACACCTAGAAAGTTAACCAACTTCAAGCTGCATTCCAGCTCTTTCACTACAGGTTTTAGCTTTTGGGGACTGTGACTGCATGCATATCATGCTCTCAGTATTATCTCCTCTCATTATGCAAACTCCAACTAAGTCCGAATTGATATAGGTGCAGGTCGGCTCGCTGCTACTGCTGACCTTAAAACGGAAAAGGTTATGACTAGACCTGGACCTAAAAATCACTACGGACAAATTACTCCCTTAACCGCTCTCATAAATCCAAGAGAACAGGCTGGTGACATCACATTGAGGTGCCATCATTCAGCCATACTCTCCTAACCCTTTCCAATTAGTAACACTAATAATGGCTGCCACATTTCTCACTACTGCCCAAAATCAATAGTTGCTCATCTGCATTGATCATCGTTTTTCACAAGCTATTGGCTCTGAAATAAATTATCTATTAATCAGAGGTCAGTGACAATGGGTTGTGAAAGAGGTTGGAGGGACAATCATGCATACTTTAAAGACAAACACGCATACAAACAAAGCTTCACACACACATGCTCCCCAAACAAGTGCAGACAACCTCCACATATACCACTCATGTGCACACATAACCTCTGCACCACAGCAAACATCAGTATACGTGAAAGGTCCTGTGGTTGTCTGGGAGACGGAGAGCGGCGCATTGATCTCAGAGGAGCAGTGATCAAAAGGAGACTGTCTTTGATACGGATATTAATCATAGTCAGGCATGGCAATGCTAATGATGAAACATCACTTAACAATCTAGCTCTATGCACAAAACACAACATGATGGGTCTACAAAGATGAGATGCACTGAAAACAGGTGACATGTTTTGTTTTTATGTAATACAGTGCATTTTGAGAAAAGAGCTAGGTGATATTCACTGCTCAAACAACTAAGCCATGCTATCAAACTGTTTAAAGCCAAGCTTTAATATAAGGACTAAGTGCAAGACTCATAAGTGACAATAATGTTCTGAGAAGAAACTGGTTTGGAATCTTTCTGAAACAAATTTCCTTTTAAACAATTTGTTCCAGAAAGACTCCAAACCAGTTTCTGGTGTGTGCTTTGATTCAACAGATTGAACTATAATATCTAATACTTTGATAATGATTACAAATTAAGCCACTACATGACTTAGTCCCTGTGCCAATCATAAAGTCAAACATTTTCTAAACAAGGCATGATTAATAGATGTAAGAAAACAAAGACAAAGACAAAGAGTCTTATTTGGAAATGTTTACAAACTTAAATAACTGCTAAACAGGGATCAGAAGTGTCTCTTAATCAATAACTGTTAAAAAAAATGAATAAGGTCACAAAGTACTGAGAACATATCTATCAGTTATGAGATTTAACAGTCATCCTCTCTCTCTCTCACAAACTCCCTCTCTGTTTCTCCATCTCACAAACACACTCTCTGTGTCATACATGTTCGCATAATATGAGAATTGCTCACAGTTATTATAACTCAGAGGTCAAAATCAATTTGTTTAACAACCTAGGGAACCAAATCCCTCAAAGGTCCTATTGCCTAAATTCGTTTTGTTTAGCTAAAGCCTCACCACTGTGTGCCTGCACAGCTTCCTGGCCCTCATTTGCAGGATTTGAGCTAAGCTGTTTAGCTCGACCAGAGAGTGAGCACCAGGCTCTGAGGATGGCAGTGTTGGCTGGTGGCTTCTAACTTGCATGGCTAGTTAAACATCTCTTTGTCCAGCCCAGCCTGAAAGGTTGACTTTTGAGAATCAAGGATTTAGACTCCTTTGTATTATGTTCTAACACCTGCTTTACTCTTCAACTTTGTATACCTGCAAACTTCTCTTTGATATAACAGGAAAGAAAAAAAAAATCCGATATGCTTCTTTCACTCCCTCTACTCTCAGCCAATACTTCATCCCACTTTCCTTCAGACATACTGTCAAATAGAAACTTCCATTTCTAGCAGGAGCATGGAGAGCTGCACTTCAAAAAGATATTCACCTGCTATTTCGTAGCCTATTGTTGCCAGAGGATTATAGATTTGATTGAGGTTGGATTATTTTCAGATAAACAAAACACTTAAAAGCGGCAAAAAAAACAAAGATGTGGCATTGAAAGGACACAGGCAACTATTCAGTGCTCATGAAAACAGGTGTGTGAATGAAAAAACAGTCTGGCATACCATTACCTAACGTATTGACAAAAAAAAAAACAATCATAAACACACTAACATTTTTCCCAGTGCAACACAGGCACCAAGGCTTAAGATCACAAGGACCCAGTAAATTAAACATGAATGTGTAGATGATACTAGTACCTCCAAGAGGAGGACAAAGCAGTACAGACTCTTGACAGCACAATACTTAGCCCTGAGACACCTAGACAGGAAGACAAGAAGTCAGGGAAAACATCATCAGAGGGACCTGGCTTTTATCTTATTTAGTCCGATGAATATAAATTGCTGTATTGCAGAAAGTCAAGATGCTTTTTCACAGATTTCTCTGTTAGTCAGTAAAGCATTGAGCTACAACTGCAAGGTGAATCCACATACAAGATCTCCTAACATGGACGAAAGTGCACTAAATCTTTTTCTTTAGGTGTTAAGACATGCACAAGCCAAGTATTTTCAGCTTTCAGCTTGTGTATGATTAGTTTGTGTGTGTTCATGACGTACACAGAGAGCAGAATGTCAGGCAGGTTTACATTAGTCAGCAGATGCAGTGGGCCACATCATTAGTCACTCTGACACCCACTTCTGGCCCCTGCTTTATTGATGAGGCCAAGCTCAACAACTACACCCTACTTAATGCGCCGACATTCACACGTATACTCTAGACACAAAAGCACACGGATCATCGTCCTCTTCCACACTGTCGTCTCTACTGTAAAAGCAACAGGAGGCCTGTTAAGCATGTCAGGTCTCACTCCAGTGGGAAGACACTATACCGGGAAGCAAAACATACTGCTGCTTGTTCACAGAATTAACAGACAGATTTGCTCCCCCCTCCATAATTTATTGGCTGTTCATCTGTCCACAGACCAAACAGCTGATCTGGAATCAAACATCTGCTTAACACCAGAATCTTTCTGCAGGTTGTGAATGGCGAAACACGATGACAAGGTGCCAAGTGTGTCACGGCAATGAGCTCAAGCCATTTATGGCCTCCATGACTCTGACATTTAGCAGGAAGCTGCAATTTGTCAGCCTCACAGTCTGACTCACACATCCACAAGCGGGGACGTTCATGAAAACACATAACCATCAGAGAAAATGAATGATGCATTTGTGGATCCCCTCACAACCATAAAATGACTCCTAGAAATATATGATGACAATAAAAATGATGAAAAACAGGTTGACGTTCTTCTTGTAAAACTCAATCTACGCCACTCCATGACCTAATAAAGTAAAAAAAATAACAGCCCGGGGCTATAGGTTGAATTGGCATTAGGACTAACTATGAATTCATGTTGGTCTCTAAAAAGTGTATGTTAATAACATACTGTATAGATAGATAGATAGATAGATAGATAGATCATTGATCCCAGGTGAAATTTTTTAAAGCAGAATCCACATTTTTCCCAAATCAAAGAAAAAAGCAAACGACCTATTCTTCTCTGAAAATTGAGAGCTTTTTGACATTCAGCGTCAGAGCCTTTGTTACAAGAGGCACTCAGTTTTCAAAGCCAGAAACTAGTGTTACTCATGAGGAGTTAGTGAAGGAGGAGGAGGAGGAGAAACAGCTCTCAAAATGCAAAGTCACTGTTTGGTTCCTACTGAACAGAAAAGAAAACATCCCCTCTATCCACAGGGCAAGTTGGAAAGCTATAATATATTCTTTGTTTCTCCATTTCCTATCTAATGCTTTTGTTTCACTCAGGTGCTTTCAATTGTCCCCTTTTTCTCGACGAGCTCATACAATTCCCTCTCTCTCTCTCTTTCTTTCCTTTTGATTGGTGATGTATAAAGGGCAAAGAACAGCCCAGCCATTAGTGAGAGAGAATATCTTGTTGGCTGCTTGTGCCCCAGAAAAATACAGACAACACAGTGAGCGCACGCAGGCGACTGAAATGTGCACTTTCTCCAAATTCTCACAATATTCCTGAAGGTTTATGAAGCACCTCTTGGAAAAAAGGTATGGCAAAGATCTGTGAGCAGTTGAGGGTTTCTCAGGCCTCGGAGTCAAACAACATATTTCAAATCATAACCAAACAGTCACTCGCAAAAAGCCGAGCAAACAGCTGGACGCATGTGTGCACTTACACATTCACCCACACTGACATACACAGCATTGCATCCAGATAAAAGAGGTGTCTGCTCTGTTCTTACCCGAGTGTTGTCATAGTAACGATGGTGTACCAGAAGGAGGCTGGGATGCTGGTGAATTTGCTGGAGCTTGAACCCTTCTCTGCGTAGAACATGACAGTAGCAAAGATAATTATGGCCATAGTAAGGGAGAAGAGCAGGAAGCCCAGCTCCGAGGCACAGCTCTTCAGCGTGTAGCCCAGGATGCGCAGGCCCTGCGAGTGACGGAGAACTTAAAGATACGGAACACGCGGAAAACTCGAAGTGTCACAAAAGCGCCGCTCACATCCTCATTGTCAGTCATCACAAGGCCGATGTAGTAGGGCAAGATGGCCACAACATCAATGATGCTCATGACCGACCTCATGAAGCGATAGCGGCTTGGGGCAGCAAACAAACGCATCAGGTACTCCACGGTGAAGATCATGACGCAAGCCGTGTCCATGCAGAAAAAGGCCACAGTGTAGCGCTCACCACATGGCACTTCCTTCATATTGGGTGATGAGCCACAGGGCACCGTCTCTACCACGTTGGTTATAACAGAGACAGCAATGAAGAAACCAGTGACATAATAGAAGACGAGGGCCATGGTGGAAGTGTGCGGGTTCTCAAAGGCCCGCCACATGGTCTCCCTTAAGGTCATGTTGGGCAGCTTAGCGTCTTTGTTGTCCTCCTGGTCATCCATGAGGCGCTCTGCATTCTCTCTCTTCCGATCCTTGTACTCTTCGTAACAGCAGTCGCCGATGATCTCGGGGATGATGCCGAAGAAAGCCAGCTCCTCATCATAGGAGGATATGCACTCAGCGCGTGGGTAGTGGAGCTTTCCCGTCCGGTAGAAGTTAAGGACGCTGCGAAACATGTCAGGGTCCCTATCAAAGAAGTACTCTTTGGTCTCCTCATTGTAGAAGAACTCCTTCTCTGAGCTCCCCAGCAGGGTGTCAGGATATCGGTCCAAGGTGTTCTTCCAGGTCTGGAATCGCCGTCCACTGACGTTGAGAATGATTAGCTCATCCTGACGCTTGCTTTTCTCAATTGGCGCCACTGGCATAGGCAAGTTGGCCACAGGCATCCAGCCGATTGCTGCCGCCCGGGCAAAGGGAAGCCATGCCGCTACTCCCGCCGCCATGCTGTGTCCCGCTTGGGGCTTAGGGGGGAACAAGTCCAGCACCTTCACAACCAGCTTGACTTCAACTCATTCACCATCTACAGGGGAGAAAGTGAGGAGTGAGAGGGTTTGTAACGACAAGGAAAGGACAGAGGTGATGGGATTTTTATTCTACTGAGGAAGAGAACTCAAAAAGAAAAGATAAGACTCGTTTCATAAAACGGTTAATATAATTAGAAATTAGTTAGGCTATTAAAAAAAGAAATGTTGTAACAATGAAGATCAAAACTCATACCCTAACAAGGCAGTCTTGCTGTGAAAGCAGAAAGTATCAGTGGAAAATCCATTTAAAATCCCACTTAAATGTGAGAAAGCTTCGCAGTGCATAATAAAGGGTATTAGATTTCTGATGAGATTGTGAGCTTTAATGTGATTACAGGAACATACTGCAACTTCCACTAAGCATCATCTTCCCTATAATTACTTTAAGGCTGTATTTCTCACATCCCCACTATTGAGTTACAGGTCAGAACAGAAGCATCCTTCTCTGAGCCACTCTTCAGTGTATCCTACAGTTGAACTGAAGGCAAGCAAGCAAATGAACTGCATCATAAAATATGACATAATGATAGTTTAAGTGTTGAACTCTTTCCTATAAACATGCACATCCAGGAGGCTATAGCCTGATACAGACAGAGAGCGATAGCAAGGCACCGAAAACCTGTTGAGTTCAAACTACAAAACAGAAGATGCACCTTTACAGTATTTAGTCAAATGTGAGGTAATGGTCAGGAAGTTCAGGGTATTAGAAACAAATATATTACCATTTAGTTGCATGTTCCAAGAATTTTTGACAAATCTAGCTGACAAATAAGGGGACTCGTGTCCAACAAGGAAGAAGCGAATAAGCGATAGTCTACAATTCGACTAACAGGTTGATAACTAAAATACAAGGCTATCATTTTTTTCTTCTTTTTTACAGTCGTCGTCAGTTACTCACCGATGCAAAATTCTCCATCCAAAGAAACACGACCTCCTCCTAGAGCAGTTTAGTTAGGCTGATAGTCGTAGGTTTGGTTATTTCTCAAAGCGTATCTGGAGGTTTTGGGGGTGGGGGGTGTGTGGGGGGGGTTACAGGAAATAAGTTATAAAACCGAAGAGGACAACCACATTAGACGAACGCTTCAGCTGGAGTGAGGGCGGAAAAGTACCGGAGAAGGACGTACCACAGCTGTTTTAATTCAGTTTCCATTGTGCGCGAGGGAGAAACGATGAGAGGACTCCGCGCGTGAACACCGATTTACGTTGGCTTTTCGGGATGAGTGGTGGGAAGAGACGGAAGAGGAGGGAGGAGGAGCGCTCTCTCCCTTTTCCCTCTCTCTCTCTCTCTCTCTCTCTCTCTCTCTACTCTTTCTACGCAGAGCGAAAACTGCATTTGGGCAGAGCAAAACCTCGTTCAGAGCTTACAATGATGCGAAGAAACTGGGTTACTCACTCTGAGAAAAAAAAAAAACGCTTCAACCCTCCATCCTCGCTCAGATTTCATTGACAAAAGTGTCTCTTTCCCTCTGACTAAAAATGTATAAGCAACCTGCCATTCATACAGTATTTTCTTCTATGACGAACTGATAGAATTTCTCCATATCAGAGGCAACTGCTGCCAGCTGAGTTAGGATACAGAATTAGTCCCAGCAGGGGCGTAGCTAAGACTTAAAGGGCTCCGGCAGTCGGCCCTACCGAAAAAACACAAAGTATTGATTAGGTCCCATCTTGACGCTCTCTGCTTTGGTACTTCACGTAGGGAAGATGTCCTTTTAATGGCTAAACACTCAGCTTGTGTAAACCCAACTGTAACTTACTGTGTTCATCTGTTGCATGGTGACAATTTTTATGCTGCCTTCCTACTCCCCCAAAATATTGCATTTACCTTTTTTGGGCACATGAACAGCCCTCCTAAAATCATATTTACGGGTGGGAAATTTAGATTACAGAAGTGTTGCTGAGTTGTGATGTTTTATGGCCAGCGAAAATGGCAGACAGCTTGGAAACAGGGTCAATAATTAACGGAAAACATTATATGTTTTGTTGTATTGTTCATATAAGCTATCTTTTATTTTAAGTAGTTTCACATTCTAGTTTAATGCATCTATTTGCTGTAAAAAGGAAGCAACATTTTAACTTTAACACATGTCAGGTGAATATATTAACACTGATAACGATGTTTACTTGATGAGCATTCCACAAAAGAGCTCTGTGCTACTTGATTTTGAAAATTAAACATCATCCACGAAAAAATGGTTGTTGCTGCATTCCGACTTGAAACAGTGAATGTCGTTGTTGCGACTGGACAACTGAGAAGTACAATGAGTCAGAGGAGCACGTACAGTAAAGGCAGTGTACTTTTTTTTTTTTTAACCTTTTTACTAAAAACAGCTGGTTGGGTGCCATAAACAGGGCACCATCCCCACCTCATTGGTGATGACAGAGGCAACAAAAATAATGATCTTCAACGGATGTAAACGATCCAAAAACCTGATCTCAAATAAACAAGTTTAAAAACCTATTTAACTCACACATGTAGAATTGATCCAAACAACAGGATACATTATTGGATCAAAAATGTAGTTGATCTGACGTACCAAAAGAGAGCGAAAACTGGCAAATAAAAGAGAAATAGACAAGCAGTTGCAGGCAGAAAAAAGCAATTTCATTATCTACTGATAATCTTGATTTAATCTCTTGATAACCTCTCTTTTGCCGATATTTTTTTTTTAATTGTTTTTTTTTCAGCATAAGTCTGTTTCTGTGTAAATACAGTGAAGGGGGAAGGGGGGTGGGTCACATTTCATGCAACTATACAAATACCTTACAGATGAAATGAACTCTGACTCTGTTAAGGCCTACAAAAATATAGAATCTGACCTGAGACCTTTGACCTTGAGCAGAAAAGTAAGCCCCGACCAGACTGAATTAGATCAAAATGAAGAAAATATTTTAGACTTACTTGAAGTATTTGTGTATTTGGCAAGTTAAAATGACCAAATTTAAAGCAAAAAAGAAACATATTAATACTAATATTTCCTTAGAACTATTGAGAATTTCCAAATTACATACATTTTCTGTTCTGTTTCTGTTGTAGTCGGATCTGGTAACTCTTTTTGCTGTTTTTAATTTAAAAAAAGCCTCAATACCTCAGAACTATAGTCCTGTGAAGAACACTGGGTTTCCAGAGGATCTCTAGATTCATAGACACTACCTTACCTTTATCTATATGCTTAATTAATTATGCTGTTATGCATCTGGATATTTGGCCGACCTGCATTGCTGTTAATGTGTCTCACTGTGCTTTAAAATGACCTCTCATTGTCTAAGCATTGTCTGAATGAACAACATTCAGGCAGGTATAGTTGTAATGGTATAAACTTATTAAGCAGGATTGGTCTTGGATGGACTCAGCACACCTGATATCTGTCTCCCCGGCCCACACAGTGTCTTCTGCCTGTGCTACTGGATCCAGACAGAAAGCTGCAAAAAGTGGAAAGAATAATAACAATAATATCATATCTCTTCAGCAAGTGTAGTGTGAGCAACTGTATTTCTCAGCCCTTGATATTTTCCTTTGCATTCTTTTCAGGGGGGCTCGGTGTCTACAGAGTCTTGTTATCATCTCTTCCAGTAAGTTTACTCATGAAAGCAAAGTAAAACAAGAGGCCTGTTGTGGAAAAGCTCTGAGCAATCATGGTCTGCACTATGGTGAAGTAGGTGAAGCAGCAGCAAGTAAGTAGCCTATAAGTATACTTTTCTGTGACAATAATGCCCATGTCTAGTCATAAATGAGCACATTTTAAACACACAATGCTGTAAAATGACAGTATATTTATACTGAATGGGCTTGCTCTCTATGTTTTTGACTTGACTATAGAGTTAGTTAATATTCTGATGGATTTACAGGAGTTGATCCAGTTTTTACATTTTCAGTGTTTAACTGAAACATGTCAATCAAGCCTGAAGTATGTGAACAAGCCATCGATGCCAAAGCTTATAATAGAATGGAGAACGATTCCGGCAAGAAACATGGTCATTTATATTCAGCCTCAGCAAGAGTCAATGTCTTTGTCCCCACATTATTCAATGCTTTGTAGAACCATATGCAGCCCTAATTGAGTCAACAGGGATCCTATTCCTCCGTATAGTCCCCTGGAATATAAATAGGGTCAGGCCATACAGCCCAAACACTTGTGGTTGTCTTAAAATGGTTAGATTGATATACATGTTAATAATACGAAAAACAAATACTTCTGCAGACTCCATATTTCTCACAATAAAAATCAACGCAAGTATAGAAATGACAAATTGCTTGTAAATGTTATTTAGACATGCAGCTCAACTAATTCAAATGAACACACACACACACACACACACACACACACACACACACACACACACACACACACACACACACACACACACACACACACACACACACACAAACATGCTTGTTTATTACAGAATGGCAAGAGTGAGCTCACCGTGTGAAAATTGTCCCCACTTCTTAAATTTGGACTGCCTTTCACAAGAACAGGAGTTCAAAAAAACACACACACACACGTTCTGTAAGACACGTAAACACAGAGACATGCACACTGTGGCTGGCCTTTTCAACCGATGAGTCTGTGAGCGATTCCAATAATTCAAATGTCACTGAATAACAAGGTGGGTTGAATTTCATGGTCAACTGCCCTCTGTAATTATCTGAAGACACTGTGCTGACATTAAAATTATAAATCCCCTCTGTCCTGAGGTGCCTTGTGAAGCAAGCTAGTTTCAGTGAAAAAACGGGATGCTAAATAGTTGTCGTAGTATTGGAGGGGTAAGTCATCCCCAGCAGTGCTACACATCCTAATAAATCAGTTTTCCAAATGACTTTAATTATTACTAGTTATTATCATACTGTATTGTGACTTCAAGAGTTTCCTTAGCTTAAATAGAAAAGAAAGGTTTTGAGAATTGTACTTGTAGGAGCCAAGTTACATTCATACAATGAATTAATTTGAATGAATGAATTTTATTTTATTATTGTGTCATGCATGCATTAGCATGCCCAGCCCACAAGGGCTTACAAGACACCAATATAAACACACAAACAGACCAAAAACCAAAAATAGATGCCAAACAATACTAACAATATAAACCATCCTGGCGTTTCCTCCAGGCTTTAGTGACAAAAGAGGCCAACTTATAAACATTGAAAGTAAACAAACAGTCCATCCTGACATCGTCATTACTCCAAAACACTTGAGGGTCTCGAGCAAACATTTAATCAAAAAGAAGTACTCTCAGTTCCTCATAAAAGGGACAATACAAAAGAAAATGAGATTCACTCTTCACTTCTCCTAAATCACAAAGTTCACAAATTCTCTGTTCCTCTGGATACATACATACATGTTAAAGTAAATAAATAAGCAGTGTAATTTTGGGTTGAAAGTTAATCTTTATTTTAGGGCTTTCATTGTATAAGTTAAGTTATTAAAAGTCAGCTAAAGGTCATTTGATTTAATTCATGTGGATTAAAGTTAAAGGCAGTATGGTATTGCTGTTAGAGCAGTGAGTTAGGTTACTGTCACTTTAAGAGAGAGAGAGAGTTCTTTAGAGACAACGTCTGTCAAAATATTTTTTTTCTATCAGTCTTTCTACATTTACTTAAAACATTTAGCATTTGAATATAAAGGTGTATTAACATTAACTCGCCTTTGGAGCCACCTCCATGTGGCCATTCCAGGAACTTCAGTTTGGCTTTACTTTTCATCTCTTTGCCTCCAACCTAATCAAGTTAATGTATATTTCTGTCCTTATTTCACTCCTCTTTCATGCTTTTACCTTGATGTCTCTGCTGACTGCTAATTTTCCCTTCAAGGCTGGCACCAAAACGGCAACAACACTATTTAAATGCATAACCCTTATTTACCTTGTTTGCACTTTCTTCACCTGAGTGAACTCAACTTTTGTTGTGACGTTTCACTCACTGCACATTTGTTTGCTGGCTTCCTTGAGTTCAATATTCATTAATTCTCAACAACCTGCCTTCTTAGTTTGTCTAATCCCCATTAGGTACCTAAAACCATCCTTTGAGGATTTAGTATCTGACTGTGGTGGAGTTTATCCTTGGTGTGCCAAACACTGACTTGGCAGGCCCTGTGTACTGTTTAGTGGCACAGGGGGTTATAGATGTGCTATTGGCCTTCTTCCAGCACACAATGAGACTAAGACAGCAGATACTGCACTCATGCCAAACCTGTTAAATATCACGCTTTGTCT